CTCATTAATTATATTATACTCTTGTGTGGTCTAAAATTAGTGGAGCAACTTATGGTCAACTATGTCCTCAACTACCAAACATATAGACTCTCCAACTTTTGTTCAACGGCCTGTATCAATTTGTCTTAACAGTTGGCAACACCTGTTTATTATTTTAGACAATTTCTTAATAAATACTATTTTTCAAAAAATCTCAAGGGGCGGTTTCTACAGATTTAATGGGTTTGGGGGGGGAGGGTGCACCCCGAAAGTCCCAATTCGGCTCAAAATTATGGATATTGAGTTTTAGGCATTTTTAGCTTTTTCAGGCTGTCTCACAACTATTTCATAGGATTAGAACCCCCTAAAACCTTTTCTCTTCCTATACCGGGCGCGTTTGCCACCACCATTTTCTCATAAAGTCAATCTTCTATTTTTTTATCACCTGGTGATACTTTTTTTGAATATCTCTACCTTTTTTCATCTTATTGAAATTGTCACAAACCGAAGAAAACATTTAATACTAAAAATTTGTCAGTACTAATTTTATATATATATATGGAATAGATTTTTGTTGGTGGTGCCTGGAGTGTGGATTTTCACAGAATTTTTGAAAACTTGACTAGTCTACTACCCCAGAAAAAGAATTCATTAAAAATTTTACAATTCTTTTACGAAAAATTCAACAGACAAATTTGTTGACATAATGTTTGCTAATATGCAAAACCCCCAATGCATTTCCACGAAAAATAAGAGCTGTATTCATTACGTAACAAATGTCGACAACATCCAATATGTTCGCTGCATCCATGGAAACAAAACTTTTTTCTCAAAACTGATAGTGGATTTTAAGACTCCTTACTATGCTCCTTATATGTGTGAAATGTGGTCAAATTCCATTTTCTAATAAGCGAGATAGCCTTCTATTGTAGCCCCCCCCCCTCCTTAAAATGTTTACTTCTCATGAGCTCGGATAATAATATCACTTTAAAAAGAAGTCTGTCCTTTGTGACACTATGCTATTTGAACTCAAATGTTGAGAAACTTTAGGGCAAAAAAGTGTCATTAATTTTTTGTTACAAGTTTAGCCACTAAAGAGTGTCACTGGTTAGCAGTACGTAGGCCATAAGCGTATGAAAAAATGTATGTAAGGAGGGGGAAGTGCTGTGAAAAAGTTCATTCTCTGCTCGACGGAGATGTGTAGCATTTCATGTAAATTCATGAAGATTTTTTTAGATCAATCTAGTCTCAACTGTTTCGGAAAAAAAAATGATTAATTTAAGACACCTTGCTACAAACTGCTTTGTCATGTATGTAGGACATTGATTCACCTGTTTCAAAGATGGTTGAGGATACGTTGCGCCACGAATTTTTGAATGCACTATAATCTATTGAAAACTGATTGTGACAATTTGTAAAGATTGCTTGTGGGTGGTTGATGGGTGCCCTGGTATGGTTTGCTACTTCTTTCCTATCAAACATCTATCGTCACTATCTCCCATTTTTATGTTTGTTACTCTCTTGTAACCACTAAACTATTCGTCACTTATAAGACCATCTTGTGCTGCAAGAGGCGTAAAACTCTTCCTAAAGACTAAACTAAAAAAGAAAATTGTCTGAAGAATCGCACAATCTTACAGGTATCTAATAAAGTCGTGAATAACGGCATCAGACCAACGCATCTTCCTGTCATAATACCCGCCTACGGATCCTCCTCATCATCATGCTGCTCCTCATCACACGAATTATAAATTAGGAGCCCATATTGTTTGCAATTACACTTTTCATATATCAAGCATTTATGCGCACGCTAACGTCTATACACTAAAATGTGTCATTTGTGAGCAGTTATGTAGTCCACGTGTATGCAAAATGTGTGTGAGAAGTGGGAAGTGCTTTTAACTCTCCCATTTCTGTATGGCAGAGATTTGTTGTATTTTACATACATTTTTTAGCAAAGATTTTAAAAAAAAAATTTCCCCGACCGTTGTGAAGAATTATGATTCATTTGAGACAAAGTAATACAGACTGATGTACAAAGTATGGGTGACACAGATTCACAGTGTAAAAAGGAATTCTACGTGGCAAAAAAATTTAGGAATTTTGTGAGGAGGTATCTGCTGACAAAGCACTGCATAAGTTTGGGGTTCTGTATGGAGCAATGAAGAACCGACAGAAAAGTAAGTCAATACCAGACTTTCAACGTGAGGACAACATGTGTGTCAGAAGCGATGAAGAGAAGGAAAAGGCCGTATTCAATCGGTATCTGGAACAAACTAACCAAAAGAATGAAGTTGAAAGACGAAACATGTTGAAGAACCTCCAACTGCACTTCAGAAGCCAAACATCCGAATTTGTGCTGACGTCTGAAACCGTTAAGCGCACCATCACGAGCGGAAAAGACACGGCACCTGGACCTGATGGCTTGCGAAACTCACACATGAGGCAGCTGAGTGAGGCAGATCTGGAGGTTTTAACGACAGTCTTGAAAATGGACAGATACCGACGACTGACTGGCTGGACAGTCATCTGGCACCAGTGCCCGAGCCTGAGAAAGATCCAAGCAAGATTGCATCCTACAGAATCATCACCATGCAAAACACAATTGGGAAACTACCTGAAAAGATTGTAGTCCAAATGCTGGCTGCTGAACTGGAGGAGAAGAATCTGCTACCCTCTACTTTAGGCAGCTATCGTAAAGGCAAAGACACTTGGATGAACGCTGCAGTCCTTGTCTCTGATGTGTATGATGGTTTTGAGCGGGATGAAGAAAAGTAGTGGTTGCCTTGGACTTTGAAGACGCGTACAACAGTGTACAATACGAGATACTGATGAGGACGCTAGCCAACATGAGAATCACCCCAGCTTTGATTATCTGGATTGGAGAAGCAATGTTGAAGAGGAGGGTGGCTATGAGGCTTGGCTCGTGGGCATCAAACGCTTGCACGATCACACCTGGCTTAACTCAAGGCTGTGCCCTATCACCTGTTTTGTTCAACGTGTATACAGTAGGAATCACTTCTAACCAATTGGAAGGCCCTGGTAGAACACTAAGCTTTGCGGGTGACGGTATCGCATACCACACAGGGAAAGACAGACAGGTGATCGCCAGCAGTATACAGAAGGAGCTTGATAGGATCGGAGCTTGGTGTGAAGCAAATAAAGGCAAAGTCCATCCTTGAAAAGTGACAGTACTTTGGTGCTCCCTCAAAAATCGAGCAGTGAAACCCAGATGACAGATGTCTACATCAAAGGCCAGACAATAAAAAGAGAAGAAACACTGTGCTACCTCGGAATAGTGTTTGACAGGACATTCAGTTGAAAGGGGCACATATCGAAAATCATAACAAAGGCCAGAAAAGGGCTGAATGCTCTTAAGGTGATGGCGAGAGACAAGATGCAGAAGAGAAATTTGGTCTTGCTCTTTGACATGCTTGTCTTGTCTCAGGTAGATTATGGTTTTGGTCTGCTGACACTGTCCAACACGCAACTTAGAAGACTGGAAGTGATCCAGAACGAAGGAATGAGAGCCATACTCATTTGCACAAAAGATACATCAGCTGCTGCAATGCGATATGTGCAAGGCTACCCGGCATGAACGAAAGACACATGCTCGCACAGGTCAAAGCTTATATGCGCGGATCCACAGAATCCTCTTTATTACAAAGCAGGTTGTCAGACTAACCCAAGACTTAAACGGGGCACGAAGTGGATGACCCAGGCAGTGAAATCCATTGAAGAGTGTGGTCTCGCTGTGGGGGCAATCAGACGAGTGGAGACTTGGGTACAGCTTGTGGACGAGGTGAAAGACAGATTCACTCAGGTGATTGCCTTGTTAGGGCATGAATGTCGTGAACGGCCTGAAGAAGCAACACATGCTGAAATCCAGATTCTAATTGAAGAGAACTGCAGAGAGGATGAAACCATCATCTTCACTAATGGCTCTGTTCAGCGTGGGATCAAATCAGGCTGGGCTTACACAACTTCTGACAAAGGAGTAACAATCCAGGAGGCATCTGGGGCAACGGGCCTCACTACATCAAGCATGTGCATGGAGATCAAAGCCATCACTGAGGCTCTGAAATGACTTTGCACTAATGGATACCAGCAGGCTATATTTGTTACAGACCCAAGGAGTACTCTGGATAAGATCTTGACCCGCAGCCTCTATGCAGATTGGTTTAAGACAATCCAAGACAGCAAAATCAGACGCTTGCAGTGGATCTTCTACCCGGGACATGCAGGAGTCAAGGGAAATGAAGGAGCAGATAAGCTAGCAGGCTCCGCAAACATAGAGGGAGTGACTCTCCAACTGTAGTAGCCCTTGTCCGAGATCCCCAAGCCAGCAGCCGTGGAGAGGGCTCCTTCACGAAGGAGGTTGTGTTTGCGAAAGGAGTACAGCCTGGTGAAGGTAGGAGGAGCAGCCTGCGTGACCCCATCAAACGCTACAACAACCAGCTGATGATGGAGACAATCTGCCTGCCCACACTGAAATGGACCCTCATAAAGAGGCGCGAGGAAGCATGGAGCACCCCGTCTTCCTAAGACCCCAGTTCTGCAAGTAATTCAAGTAAAGTAATTCTATGATAAGTTGCGCCACGAAGTTTTGACCGCATTATAGTTTACGTCTGAATAATACACGACATGAAAAAAAGAAATAGTACACATCTGAATACTACCTGAAATGAATGATATAGCTAACTTCTAGAAAGGAAGTAAAACATAGAGCATGAAAACATTTGTTATCGTCATGTGGTTTTAGATATATGATGATCTGAAGATGTAAAATATAAAAAAGAAAGGGTTCTCAAGATCAGGGCAGGGATGGGGGTGGGGGATTAAAGGAGGGAAGGGGTACTGTCAGTAAGCTTACGGTCTCTTTGGAGCTGGTGTTAGAATTAGTACTTTAAGTGTATCTTTTAAAAGGTGTTCTGTTCCGAAAAAGTATTAAGGGAACGACAATAACACAAACGTGGCTTTTCTAGAATGGCATAATACAATGGGGGATGTAAAATAATGCTTTTTGACTGTTTTGCACCCTACAATGAAATCGAAAATATCTTGTTGGTTTATATTTATAAATCTCATCGTCAGTTTGGCTGCACACAACACTGGTGAAAATGGACAAGTCTGGAAATTATACGTGTACAGATTACAGAGGCTATTCCATCAATATAAGCGACTCGGCTGCGGTCAAGGCGATATGGCGTCGGTGTGTGGGCAGGGCAGCTCTTCTCATCTCTATCTGTTTTGCCCTGGCTATGGCTTTCGGGTTTTTGGCGCTCTACAAATGGCGGCATTTCAAAACCGCACTGCGCAAAGTATTCCTGAACATTCTGCATTCTGTCAGGTGATTTTTATGTTTGTCATCACTATTAGTTAAAAAAGTGCTTGGTATATTTATAATTATGAGTCACGAGATATAAAGGAGTTCTCTTTTTCGAAGAAGGAGTTCTTTCAGCATAATAAGACTACGGGACGCCTCTTTCAAGGATAAATCAACTTTGCACTAAGAATTCCATTTTCAGAATAACCTATGACCTGTTTGTATGTTGTTGGGGATAAAATGAGAAAAGAAAGATAAATATACAAGTGAAGAACACAAGAAACGACAATCAGAGTTGTTGTTGTTGTTTTTAAATCCCTTTAGCTGTGAGCATTTTGCTCTTGGCAGCGCAATGCCTCCCTCAAGTAATCACATGTCCTTGTCATCTGGTCAACCCCAGAGTAGAGCAGGCTTTGTAAGTCTGTAGGTGTGTGTAGGAGCCTGTGTCGAAGAACTGCCAGGTTTGGGCAGTGAAGGAGAAGATGTTCAACGGTCTCCTCGTGGTAGTCACAGTGTCTTCAATGGGGTTCCCACTTGGGGTTAATTCTGTTTATGTGCTTGTTGGTGTGTAAGTGTCCTGTGAGGGCTCTGAAGATCAATGTCTGATCGGCTCTACATAAGAGATTCGAAGGGTCTTTGGAATCGGGTTTGTCCATGTACCCGAAGAGAGATCTTCCTGTTTCTACGTTGACCCATCTGTTTAGCCACTCGTCTCTGCTTTTGGCTTGTCTGGGGTAGGCTTGCTCCAGTCTTTGATAGCTGGTCTGCAGTCTCATTCCCTGGTACTTCAGAATGGCCAGGCACTCACTGCAGTGTGACCCGGACGCCATAGAAAGTGCCCATCTGTTTTACAAGGCTGAGAATGTTCCCGTCACCTCTGTAGTCTCCTCCTCCCTCGACGGCTTGGCGTACTGACATTGAGTCAGAGAAGACAACAACGTCCCCTAGTGTTACTGCGCCTTCAAAAAAGTCTTGGGTGATCTGCTCCAGGGTCTTTACTATGGCAACTTTGTCTGCGTCATAGTTGGAGCTGTATATTCCACATGGGCCAAATAGTTGGGTCTGCTTCTTCTCTCCAAGGTTGTTTCAATATTTGATGATAGATTCCATGTGGCATTTGTTGCTGACCCATCTGTGAATGCATGACTTGTTGGAGTTTCAGCATACGAATCCACTGTCTCCAGGGCACTTGTTCTGAGGATTTCTTCTGGCGTGGTCTTGTCACAAGAAGGGTCTAGAAGTCTCGTTCTTATTGTGATTTCTGGTGTCTGCCAATATGGAGGTTCGCTGCTGATGTTGATGATTGGTTCTCTGTTCTCGGGTGGGTCAAACTCCTCAAGTAGTTTTGTTGCTTCTCGCATGAAAGAGGTCTTCTGGATGCGTGTTCTTGGTTCCCACTCATCTGCCATTGTCCTGTTTTCGTTCGTGTCTTCTAGCTGCACAAATCTCTCGTAGGTTTTGGGTGTAGCACTTATTATTCTGAGGTCCAGGGGTTCTATGTTGGTGTGGATTTCGCAGGCGCTTGTAGGCGTGGTCTTCATCGCACCAGAAACAAATCTGAGTGCTTGGTTCTGTACTCTGTCAAGCTGTGCCAAAGAGCTTTGGCTGGCTATGGATTGTAGTGGGAGTGAGTTATCAATCACAGATCTAACATACCCTATATAATGTTGTCGGAGGGTTGCTTTGTTAGCTCCACAGCTAAGTGATGAAAGGTGTTTCAGAAGGTTTAGTCTGGAGGTGGCTTTCTTGATCAGTTCCCTAAGTGCTGTTTGGGAGACAGTGTTTGGTCCAGTTGTACACCAAGGTACTTGGGATAGTCCTCATGTTTAATGGTGGTTCCATTGATCTTCAGGTTTACCTGACTTGCTGTAACCTTGTTTTTGAGACTGAAGAGTCCAAAAACAGTCTTGTCTGTGTTGATCTCCATCTTCCATAACTGGCAGTAGGACGAGATAGTAGTCGGGTCTGCGTTGATGGCTTGGTTCAGTGCTCTCATGTCACTTCCTTTTTTCCAGATGAGTAAGTCGTCAGCATAGAGTGCTTTTTGGCAGGAGATAACATCTGGCAAGTCGTTAATGAACAACAGGAAGAGGGTACAGCTGAGTGCCGACCCCTGTGGGAAGCCTTCCTCGGGTGTCCTCTGTGGAGAAATCTTGCTGTCACATGATGTCTGGATAGTTCTACAAGACAGAAAGTTCTTGATCCAGCTGTACATCCTTCCTTCTATCCAAAGCTTTTGCATTTTGTAAAATCGTCCCTGTCTCCACACACGGTCATACGTCTAGTTCTCCACAATGTTCTCTCCATGTTTTTCTTTTCGAACTTTTGCTGTTCAGCTTTACCTTGGCAGTCAGGTAGTTGTAGTGCTTTCTGTTTTCGGCTGTTGAGTTCTTTTCAGCACGCCGTCTGGCTTTCTTTCTGGCCTTGGTCAGTTGTTCCAGTTCTTGTCCCAATAAGGGCGGTACTTATTTGGGTTCCCTCTTGGAATCGCTTCCTTAGCAGATGTCTTTAGTGCTGTGGTGATGTCCTTGTAGCACTTATCATCCAGGAATCTGATTTCTGATTTCTGTTGGTAGAGCTCCCAGTTTGCTTTCTTGTAGTTCCAACCGCGCCTTACGGGGTTGGTCGGTTTTTGTGTCCTGTTGCTGGATATCTGCAGTAGGATTGGGCAGTGGTTACTTTCTATGTCATCTAGGACTGTCATGGAGCAGTGCTGGTGAAGGTCGGCAGAGACCAAGATCAAGTCTGGTCTGCTGAGAGTTCCGCTGGTTCTATGAAGTAAGGTGGGTGGTGTCTTGTCTTTCTGGAGAGAAATGAGGTTGCTGGATCTCAGTAGTTCTTCTAGAACTGTTCCTGTCCTGTCTGTATAACTGTAATACCACAGTGGAGAGTGTCTATTGAAATCTTCCGCAAGAATGGTATTTTTATGGTCTGGCATTCGGGAAGTTGAGCTGGAGAGTAGATCTCGGTGGGCAGAATACATTGTAGATGGTGTAAGTTGTTCCATCCGACTGCAGCACTTTCACTTCCTGCATGTAAGTCTCGTCATCGGTTTCTGGGTGAGAAACCTCAGCGGGGATGTCATTCCGAATGAGGGTTGCGATACCTTGACATATGGTGCATTTGCAGTAGTACATTGTGTAGCCTGTCAAATTGAGCTATATCCGCTTGGGTAGTTGGGTTTCCTGTAGCAGGGTTACATTAATTCTTAAATCTGACAGCATCTTTGCAAGCTCCATTTTCTTGTTCTGTATAGATGAGATGTTCAGTTGGAGTATATTCAATGTATGTGGTGTCTGTGTGTTGCTTGTTGCCCCTATACCTGCAGTGTGGGTTCCCGAAGATGTCTTGACACTCCCGCCCCCGGGTGAAGGCAGAGACCTCGGACCTTGATAACCGAGGCGACATCCGAGCTCACATAGTTTCATTTGTCGTTGAGGCCTTTTATTTTTGGGGGGTTATTAAGGCCTGTATGCATCCCTGTAGGATCTCAGGCAGATGGTAGTCTTATCCTGACACTGGCTTGGGCCCGAACATCTTGCCAGAAGAGAACAAAGGTGCAATGATCACTGTCTTTTTTTCCATCAACATTCACGGGGATTTCTTGGACAGCAGACAACCATAGGGGTGGGGGGGGGGGTGTAAGCACACTCTAGTTTTGAGAGTTGGGAGCCACAAAGTGCTACCAATGACCAGTGATCGTCTGAGCAGTCCAGTAAGGGGTTCCATTGAGTAGGGGGTAACGCGTACCTTCCACAGCGAGTCGTCTACATCACCAGGTGTAGCTTGCGTTTCCCCAATCCCCGCCACCTGCTGTCTCCTGGCTATCTGCTATTTACATATCCGTTCGTGGAGCAGAATAATGCAAGGGATGGCCAAATCTACTCAGACAGATGATCGTCACGTCATGGATCAGTGAGCATTTGCAAGGATATCTGTTGGGACGTCGTCTGTTTCCAGACAGCCTATTCCTCACTGCTGCAAGGTATTCTGGGTCCGCTGAGACATCTCACGATGAGTCATCTGGCAGTCTGTGGATACCATGCCCCGTCTGTAGAGCTCCCATGAGAGGGAGGGAAGAAGATGTCGACAGTGAGTTCCTGAATGAACAGGTCGGCCTGCTGTGACGCCAGAGCTACCATAATGGTGTGTGTGTGTGTGTGTGTGTGTGTGTGTGTGTGTGTGTGTGTGTGTGTGTATGTGTGTGTGTGTGTGTACGGACCCTTCTACGAGCTGAAATGTCGTTGCTCACACCGCACCTCACAGGGCTATGGTACCTCCTGGCCAGAGCTCCGTCTGCTATCCCTGCTCCTGTGCACAAAGCAGGGGTCCCCAGGCTGCTCGACAAGGACGGGGAGTGGACTTGGTTAAGGCTGGCTTGCCAGAGAGCGTCTGGGGTTTCACCCTCAACCCTTACTGCCCACGACACTCAGAGTAACAAGCTTCTTATTATCATCAAATTACTTCTTTTGGTAGAAACTGCATCCTCGGTTTACTTTTTTGTTATTTGTTGTTGTTGAGTATTTCGGTTTCTCTGCTGGGATATAGATAGATAGATAGATAGATAGATAGATAGATAGATAGATAGATAGATAGATAGATATTGCCGAATGAAAATGACGTAGTTAATCTTTGTTCTTCTCCAGAATGAAAACCATGAGAGAGTATCGATACCAAGTGTTCATCGGGTACGCGGATGACGATTTCCGATTCATACGCCATATACTGCGCAGGTCGGCCAGAGTTTGATACAATAAGTTGTATTGCTTTCATTCAGTCGTTGATCTATAATATTGTTAAGTATAAAAAATACACACCCTTTTAAGAAATGCATCATTACTAAAGAGCAGGGTGCCTTCGAATTTAACATCTTTTTTCGAGGGGGCAAAGTCGAGTGGGAGGTCAGACTTGAGAAGTCTCCCAAAAAGACCCTACCCATTAAGGGCATTAAGGGTATTTTGATAAGAATTCGAACCTGAACCTACTGCCCCAAAGGCATGCATGATCATGAATGAGATAATCTGTACCTCTTTAGACTTGGGGAGATAATTTAGCTTGGTTATGAAACTGCTCGCCGCTCTGAAGAGTTTTCTTTTCTTTTTTTTAAATATTTTTAGAGACAATTTTAATATTATATTACTGCACTCAGTCTCAGAAACGTAACACCGCCCCGTTCTCTCCCTTTCATCCCTCCCTTTTCCTTAAGCATAATAAGATACTGTATTCTGAATACTGCAAGCAAATCGGAGGTAGGCCAAAATACTAAATCATAGTTAAGCTTGATATAATAAGCTTATGCATTGCCCAATACATCCTGTTTAACACCATGCCACACCCCTCCAAGCATCCATGCATAATGTTGGTTCCTGATAAGCGCATTCCAGTTTCTTTCCCAAGTACAAAGTAATATATTTCTGAACTCCCTCGGTGTGAGTTGATGTTGATAAAAAAAATTATTATTTATGTATGTATGTTTTGATTGATTGATTGATTGATTGATTGATGGATGAATGGATGGATGAATGGATGGATGGATGGATGGATGGATGGATGGATGGATGGATGGATGGATGGATGTGAAAGATCGATTGATAGATTGATGGATTGATTGATTTATGTTTTTAAGATGTGGGAGCAAAGGGAACTGTAAAGTTTATACTTATATAAATCACAGCTACGACTAAATAATTTGTTTGCGTTCTCAGGTACTTGGAAGATGACCTGAATCTGAGCACATACATCCACCAGCGTGACCTGGGGCCCGGCTACCTTGACCAGCAGCTACTGGATGCTATCCAAGACAGTTGGAGACTCGTTCTTGTGCTCTCAGTTAACTTCCTGCGTTCTTATGACAAGGCCCATCTTGTCATGAAGGTAAAGTTGACGACACCCTTGTTCGACACTCTCCCGATTTTGCGGAAATTACACAATGCTGTCGATAGGCTAGGGAAAGAAAGACAGATTGTATTAATAACCATCATGTAAATAATTTTTACTCTAGTATTTACACATAACCAGGCGCTTTTCACAAATCCAAGTACTTTCATAAATGAATAATAACTGAGAAAAAATTAAGATTTACTCATAAGCACACACGAAAAAATTACACTTACTCATACTCACACACACTCTTATTCACACACATACGAACACACACACACACACACACACACACACACACACACACACACACACACACACACACACACACACACACACACACAAATACACACATATTGGTTGATTAAATGTGTCATGCCCGCAGTGACACAATTAGATCGTTTATGGGTTAGGCTTCTTCGCCTTTTTCTGACAGGATCTATACAGGCGAGTGAAATGCAGAATCCCGCCAGGCTGAATGAGATACACCAAAGTTATGTCTTCCGCATTAGACGGACAGCAACGTATTCTATTAATAATAATAATAATAATAAATTACACTTTTATTTGTCCCAGAAGGGCACTTTGTTTTACAATGGCAAACATACATACATAAATACATACTTATAAATACGTACATACATAAATACATACATGCATAAATGCATACATAAATACACTCTATTACACAAATACAGAACAGTTTACAAACAATGCCACTGTCGGTCGCCACTGTGCAGCGCCCTGTAATTTGAGCTAGGGTTGTCGTGTCTTGCTCAAGGACACACTCCAGTGACCACCCATCTGATCCCCGTGTCACCGACACTTGCTTGACATTGCTTGAGTCAAAACTCACTACTCACTTAGCCACTGGAGCCCCCAAGTACTTGTTGAGGGAGAGAAAGATGTTCAAGGGCTGTATATAATATATTCATGCACACTGTTTTGATGATGATGATGATGATGATGATGATGATGATGATGATGATGATGATGATGACGATGATGATGATGATGATTATGATGATGATGATGTTGATGATGATGATGGTGGTGATGATGATGATGGTGTATGGTGACCTAGAGAAGTACGTAATAAGAACATTTTCGAAGCATTTGTTATAATTTGATAAATTTGATTTCATAAGTTGTGTTAAATAAATTCACCCTACCAAACGGTAAACCACTTTCAGATGTGTACGTCTGCCTTGACCCCATTGAACCCAGACCGCATTCTAGTTTTGGTGCAGAAAGATCAAGGCCGCTACATCCCCGATTACATCCTGGCGGCGGTGGACGAGGGTCAGCTGATCACAGTGACCAACCTACAGGAGCAACTCAATTACGAACAGAAACAACGCATCAAACATCTCATTTTGTCATAATTGTGACAGTGCATCAAACACTTTATCGTGTCATGAATGTAACAGTACATCAAAGATTCTCCTTGACAGTACAGTAAGGGTTTCATCCTGTCATGAAAATGTCAGTCCATTAGACATTTTATCTTAACAATTCATCACATTTATCATCTGGTCCTGAATGGGACAATATACCAAACATGTCATCTTGACAGAATATCAAACAAACTGTCTTAATTATGAATATGACAGTACATCAAATATCTTGTTTTGGAATAAACGTGACAGCACATCAAACATCTAATATATTTATGAATGTGACAGTTAATCAAAGATCCAATCTTGACAGTTCGTCAATCATCTCATCTTGCAATTAATGTGACAGTGCATCAACTTTTCTTCATGTTGAATGAACATTACAATTTTTAATCTAATCACGAATATGGCAATCCATCAAATGTCCAATCTTAACAGTTCATCACACTTCATACCTGGCACTGGATTTGACAACTCACGGTAATCTCATCTTACCATGAATGTAACAGTATATGCAACTTCGAATCAGGTCATAGAATTGACAGTACACAATATAGTTTGTCTTGCCATGAACTTGACAATTCATCACACCTTTCATTTCGTCCCGAAAATGAAATAGCATTACATCAAATATCTCGTCTTATTATGAAGGTGACCTTACCGACATGAACATACTGAATAAAATTTCTCATCTTGTTGGAAAGAAAACATGCCTGCAAGTATTTCTGCTGCTACTGTTCGAAAAAGTGCAAACAATAAAAGCGAAACTAACAAACGGCGCTATTCCTATTCTTCTTCTGGAGAAGCAAAAGAGAGCTTCAAAACTGAGACTGCCATCTGAACCAATGCGCGGACTTCCGGGGACATTTTTATACCCCAGTGAATTATCTTGTTATGAACTATCTTTGATAATAAAAAGTTATCGATGTAACCCATGTTTATGAGATTCCAGGCTGCCGCGGCACTGCAACAGGGAACTGCGGAAAGGAACCCTGGAAGCCATTGAGGTTAAAGGTGTTTCTCTACTTTAATGTCCATGGTCGTCGGGTACAATCGCAGCATGGTTGTTGTGTGTACTGAAACCACCAGAAAACGACCGGACCCGACCCGATCCGACTCGACCCG